TGAGTCATTTGAGGCGATAGGATGAATACGTTTAAACGCTTTCGCGGAGATTAGGATATGTTTATTTTTTCGACTAGGAGACGATCTTTTTACCCAGAAAGCGCTCAGGATGTCCGCTTTTACTTTGTAATTCAAAGAAGTAGGCAGTGTATGTTTATTGTGTCTAAATATATTAAATGTTGTAAAGCTGGTCAAATCGTAGTTCTCACATATGAGTTAGTTTTTTAAATAATGAGTGTACCGTACTAGCGTTTACCTTGATTTGCATACCTAGCTCATAAACATTATACATGCGTGTGGTATACATTTAAGGTTAAGACGCTGTGTGATGAATTAGTCCGAGATACTTACCGTTAGACTTGTTTTCTGTACCACTCTCATCAATTTTGCAACGGTCATAGGAATTAACAGCCTCATCTAACTTTCTTTTACATCGGAAACTGAAAGTGACAGTCTGACATTTGGAAGGATTTAGTTTAAAAGCATTTTCCGACTCCTGATAGAGAGCTGTTCATCTTAGTACAGTGTAGATGCGAATTAAAAGATACTGGAATAGTTAGTCCGTGCGCTTGACATATTTCACTTCGTAGGCATATGTACATTAAGTTCATCAAACAAAAATACAATTGGTAGTGGACGACTATAATGGAGAAAATGTGATGCAAGACTGCAGCTGCATCTAAAATACCTCTACTGTGTTTATAGGCGAATTATCTGAGATCGTTAAAGGCTTTAAGTGAAGGTTGAAGATTAAGTAAGAGTAACTTTTCTATAGCTTTTAGAAAAGGGTAGGTAACAGCAATAGGTCTAAATTTAAAGCATGTTCCATTAGACGACTTAGGTATAGGTACAATTTTAATGTCCTTCCAAACGGTTGGCACAACATTTCTAGAAAAAGATTCATTAAATATGTGAGAGGATATCTGCAGATTTTTTAAGAATAAGGCTAGGTAAACAATCTGGAACTAGGCTACAAGAAGGGTTCAACGATATTATTTTAGAACGTCATTTGTATTGAAACAAGGGAGCAACTCTTAATAACACTTGTGACACCGGAAACCTTGACATTTGTGGGAGAATGTATGAATGCCTTGTTTACCGTAAACACACTGTTGTAATACTGGAGGTAATTAGATGCATAAATGCGTGAGTTATTTAATATTCATAAAGTAGATATGCAAACACCGCAGTTGCTGATTATAGAAATGATGGATATTAGATAACATCACATGATTCAACGGCATATTAGAAATAGATGAAAATTGTTTCTTTGCTCACTGTCAAGTGAACAGTCTACTTGATGATGTCACTGCATATTAACAGATTAGTGAAGCAGCTATCAAGCCCAAGTTATTACATTTACTTGTACTTCATACTTGGCATTTTACAGTTTACAGAGTTGCAACTAGCTAGATAAGGCGATTTTAGCGTATCGAACATTACAGAATTATTATTCAACTTGTTAAATCCTACTTAGTTTTTACAATGTGCTACTGTACAGAAACAGACACGAAATCTTACGAAGGGCTAAAGTAACAGTCTCATAATGCTATAGTAAATCTCCATCCCTCTAACTAAGCTTAATATGCATTGATCCGAATTCACTTATTACAAAAGCACATAGTATAGCAACGCACTGAAAAAGTCTAGAGGAAGTATAATTGAAGAGTATATTAAACATTTCATTAATTTACAAAAGAAAATCCCGATGAATAGTATTAGCGTTAGTTTGACCGAATGATATTTCCGCTGATTTCATATTCGACAACCTCGGTTTACCTGAAAAAAAGCACATGTAAGGACTAGCACAACATGAAGTTATGAAAGATAATTCTACACATTAGCACACACTATGAATACACTGATTCTGTTAATACTAAGTAATATCTCATGCAAATAAATGTATTTGTGGTTTACAGCTGGTTTTTATATTGACACCACAAGCATCAATAGACCTCATATGTTTACCAGTATTAAAGGATTATACGCAAATATCAAGACAATCTTTGAAACCTCCATACTGTTGAGGCGTCATACCCTCATCAACCTTACTTGCAGATCAACTTCACACTAAATACGTTTACATTAAATGAAGCATTGCAAATGTGTAACTTAGAAACTGATCCATAATCTCAGTAATGTCTAGTGAGCATAGTTTTATGAATACTACAGAAATTACATTCTCACATTAAGGAATCTGTAGCCATCAATTATAAGCTGAACATGCTTCAACTCTAAATAGCTATGCACAGTGTTAGCAGCATAGAGAAACACTTAAAATATTGTAAGATACGTAGACCTGTTGTGTTGATGAGGATAACAATGACATATAATGCAACCTAGACATTCAGTCGTGAGGCAGCATCTGTACTGCTTCATGTCAATGGAAAATTTAGGAAAAATTCATCACCACTATTGGTGATCAAAAACATTGCAGAATTAAGTTTACAGTGCCAGTGAGAATGGCATAACAGACAGTAGATTGATAGTAATAGAGCTCTGACTAGATTCAGTTCTCATAATCGACACAATCCATGTGTATAATAATACTATACACTGAATTAATGCACTAAGTGACACAGTAAGGAAATTTAAACGAGTGATTGCCTGCTCCACTGCACTGCACTTACAATAATCATGACAACCACCTACGTTTGCTAGTCAAGCAGACAATGGCGCAGTATTAATAAAGTTAAGATATTTTTTATACATTGAGTCCATATAACTCTTATTACGCTACGCCCAACAGTGCAAATATACATGAGATACACTTAGAAATAACCTCTTAACTTACGTTAATTCCTGTCCAAACACACATACGTTGGGACACATCTACATGATTACTTCTATTCCCACAGAAGGTTCTGTTAGCATTTATAGGCGATTTCCAATACTGATAGAATTCTTTTGTCAAAAAGGACTGTTCTTCACACGGAAATAGGCTGAATTAATATCCTGAGACGTGAAGTCTCCATTGAATGATACCATGCCAAAAGGTGCAGCATCTAAATAAAGTAGACTATTTGTGTAGATGACATTATCTTTCAACTATCCCATCTTTCTCATTATAGCGATATTTTGCTACAGTTCGCCTGAAACACTGATCGTTGCAACCGATATGCTAGGGGGTGTCGCAGTCAGATTACATGACGCGGACACCAAAATAACTGACCAGAAAATGGGGATTCCCATCAATCCAGATAACATATAACACAATTTTATTAAAAATTATTGACAAAAAATTTCCAAGTGAAATTTTAACAGCTGTTCTAGAACGTGATATTTAACGTCTACCAGGATTGAAAGACTTGGTGAATAATTTGGATTTTCAAAGGACAGGAGCTCGGCGGCTGGGTTGTGATGTGATTATGAATCTTTATCATTTCCACTATATACACTTTTTCGGACAGCCCTAACTATGACATTCCCACTTCACTAGTAGGGGAAGTTTTAATAGCTCCCTGGCCACCGGGTTAAATGGGCTAGGTTAAACGGTCAGCAGGTCTTGTGTCCAAAGCCCACGTCTAGCAAGAAAGATACCAGAGCAGCAAGTGAACCTTATTTCTAGTCGAGGGCAGCCAGAAGTGAGCTTGGAGTCGTCCAAGTGGCCCAACTAATTTGTTTCTTAGGCAGATAGTTCTCACGATTAACCGGTCGGCTACTGTATGGAGTTTTTCCCTGGGATGCGAAGGATGCATTAGTAACACCCTTCCATATCGCTCTGCTTTTGAAAATGGAGGTTTATAATTCTTACCTGAACTTTGGTCATGGTAGTGGTGATCGTAGTCCATAGTGTTATTGTTACACATTTCGAAAATAGCTCGTTAACTAATACACTGCATTGTTTCTGTGGAAAATTCCCTTATCCGATAAACCTTACAGTGAAGGTGAGATGTTTCGATTCCAGGGACAACATAGAACCCATCCGTGTCGTTATAATATATATCCGCAGGGTTCACCACAAGGCACATCATAGATGACTGGCAATGGGACTAAAGGATCTGAAATCAAAGGTGGCCTTTTCAATCTTGACGAAGAATTCTTCATTTGTAGGACCAAATCGAATCTGTCTCTGCAGACAAAGGTATTTTTATTTTTTTATTTTGGTTACAGCTTGATTCCACACCGTATTTCCAGTACAAGTATGGAATTTTCAGCATGGATGTTGGTAGCCCGAATTTTGCAGGCCGACCATAGATATCGGGTTTGCGTCGGCAGGGGATCGAACCCCGGACCATGTGCATGGTCGGCGAGAGTCCTAACCATTGTGCCACCGACGCACAAATCCCTGCCCCCAGATCGAAATGAACTCTCGACCCTGGTGGTGACTACCATAAGGTACTGTCTTTGCCCCGTCTTATTAATCCTATGTATCAACAGATTACCTCGATGGCAGGAAGTCCATTAGAAGATAACACGTACGTTTTGTGGTGTCGCCAAATAGTCCTATGAGAAAATGACTAACATTTTAATTGTTTTTTCCTATCCATGCCGTAAGCAGAGAGGAGATAGAACCACAACATTGAAAATTCTAAGAAATGACTATGGACTTGGCCTATCTTCTTTTTCACCCTCAACCGCGTCAAAAAATCTCAGCAGATACAATTGGTGATCATGGAATTAAGCAGGAACCAAGCCACTGAGGTTAACTAGTTCTTTCACTGTGTCACTAACTCTTTAAACCAACTAATAAAAGTGATGTTTAAGCTATCAATGAACTCATTCATGCAGGGATCAGGCAAACAAAGATATGTATTTGAAAAAGATTAACGTAATGTTGAAGCTATTTTTCTACAGTCAGAATGTATGAAGTCTGAATCTCTCCTGATTTAAGTGTCGTACCCAGCTGTTTGTACAAAGAATAATATTAACACTACTTCAGTTTATCATGGATGAATGTCTGTTGATAAAAACAATCAATGCAATTTCTCTAAATATATTTAAAAGTAGTGTTTTTTATTTATTGAGGATTGCAATTTAATTTTTTAAGCGAACCAGATATGAAGGTTGGGCCGCGAATTACGTATCAACCGCGAAAGCGAATAACTGATTACCTAAAATCTTTGTATGTGTAGTGTAGATTTACGTAGGCACTCCTTGTGGTTTCGATATCATTTAATTGACTTAAAACCTTCAACCATCAATTGTTGTACTCTACAGGCACTCTCTTGGTGCCCTGTTTGGTATGGTACATAATTCGAACACTTTCAAGAATATTCCTCTAAATTTCCGTCTCAAAGTGCATAGATTGGTGCGTTGAGCTATTTTTTGTAGGGAAACTATTGATGCTTGGTACCTGTAATTCAAAGCTTCGAAAAAATGAGAACATAATGAAGAGGTGTACGAATTTAGTCGGTTAATTCTAATGTGAAGATGCGTATTAAAACTGAGAAATTTTGTATAAATTTCATATGTATCACTATCTATCTCATTCTATCTCTCGATACACTTTAATTTCCTCCGGAAGTCACTGGGAGTGTACACCCAGTTGACCACATACGTGATGTTTTGATTAATCTTCTGATTTAGACGATGTTCCATGTTATGTCTAACAGACATTATTTTTCCAGTTTTTTAAATTGGAATTGTAAACAGGTGTAATACTAAATGGGGCCTACTGACAAGGGTGATCAATATGAAAATAGAAGCACTTACAAATTTTACTTAATAAGGCTTTTTTATTTCTTAGCAATAGACTCCACTTTCCACCCATTAAGTTTCTGTGTGGTCTTCACACTTTAATTTTTTAAAAGGTTGCATCAGTTCTTGTGGAATGACGTCTGGTGAATTTCAGCTTGGATATAAAAGGCCCATAGGGCATCGACCGACCTACGTCATCTCTGGCGTAGGCACGACATACCGTTATCCATCAAAAGATGTATTTATAGCTAGGCAGTTTGCTATGTTCTACTGTATGACTGTAACACATGGACAGTGAAAGTGGAAGATGTGATAAAACTGTCTTAAACCACAGATATTTGCGTTTTATCTCCTGTGTTAAGTGGTGTATTATTGTGAATAGCATTGAGGTGGAACCTAGTGTTTGGTAAAGAAGGAGAGTCAGTCGGTGAGGTTGTAAAATCGCATTTGTTGTGAGATGACTAGGACACGTATTGCGCATCCCGAGCCACCGTTTTCCTCGATGAGTAATGTTAGACGATATCGAAATAAGTTAGAAAAGAGTTAGGGGTGGTCTTATCGAAATATCGCATCAATCCGTATTGTTTTTGGCTGTTAGTTTGAGTCGTGTGGAGGTTGTCGACTGTGTGATTGAGGTCGTAGAGACACTAAGAACAACTGGCTAAATACTATTTATTGGTGATGTTGCTCAAAATTGTTTTCGATGGCGTCTATGCATTCACTATTTGTGGTCCCCCAAATCCACTGAATCTCATGGTACTGTTCTTTGTTCAGCGTGTTCATGCTCATTATAGTTCTCTGGGATCTCATTTTTTCTTTCTGTTATTAGGACTGTGGACAGTTGGACTGCTGCACTTCTGCGCAGGTTTGTATGCTGAAACTTAGCCAGCCAGTTAGGAGTCTTTCCACGTTCATTGGTTTGATTAAGAGAATTATATCTACTTTTAGAGCTATATATAGATGAGTCTTCTTGTCTATGATGGTATCCCCCAAAGTCCAATTTGTACAGTGGTTTCTCATATCTTGATCCAACTCAATTGAAATCCATAATTGTAAATCTTCTTTAGATTTTCGGTAGCTACTTTGCACACTCCTAAATTTAAAGTGGAACTAGGCTGTAGAGAAAGCTTGTAAACATGCCCACTAGGTTCTGGTAATGATTCTTAGTTTTAAATGGTTTGGTCATAGTTTACAATGAGTGCAGAGTGAAGCGAATTCACTCATACTTCAAACACTAACATACTTATTTAACTAGCATGCAAGCATTGCATTCATTGACGAAATCGTCACTGTATAAAATCTAAAGCTAAAGTGAGGAAGTGGATGAATTAAAAAAATCATCTATTGTAAAAGTGAGAGCATTTATAGTCAACTTTCAGACTTTCTACAGAAATTCTGTTAGGTTCACAAATATAGAATCGCATATACAATCCACCAAGATTGTTTCCCAAGAAAATCAAACACAAAATTGTTAAAATGTCGTAAACTAGGTCTACCAACATAGTCATTACATGATCCTTAAATTTGTGTTGAATCTCGTCTGGTCGCCATGAGTCCCTTCGTCCCGCAACTTAAGATTCAGTAGTTTTGTCTCCGGAATACTGGTTCAACTCAGTCAGTTTACGCTAGCTCGCTCAACTGTTATTCGTAGTACTATATGTTGGAATAAAATATTTGTCATTTAAAACCATTAGAATATCTAGAAATGCATATAACAGCAACAGTCTTGGGAGGAAACAGAATACCTGGTCACCGAAATAAAATGTTAACCGTATAACTTAAGACATACCTGTTACGGCAGATGTAGTTTCCAGCAGGATTTCACTTGATTTTACCGCAAAGGAAATTTAATATGAATGTGTATTACTTAGGTCATCTGTCCTGTTGGTAGTCGAGAATTTTACTAAGCTACATCAGACCCTTTGGAATTCTGATATTACTATTGACATTTTATCTTCTCCTTTTTTCAGTTCACCGACGTGTTTTCACTGTCAATCTTTCGACTTTAATTACCTTGAATATCTTTCGTGTCTCAATTTTGCATCCCTGGCGTTGTGACAAAATTGACAATGACAGATTGGTTTCATAGAAATCACCTGAAGGCCACTGCAAAGCTCACGTTCGACTTTGGAGCAGTTACTAAAGATTTGAGCAGCAGGTCTCTGTGCAGGTATGTATGTTGTCGGGATTATGACATACGTGTAACCGCCCAGTGATCTCGAATCACTTTCTTAAATATTTCATTTTTTTAGTGGTTATGATAGAATGTCGATGACTGAACTGTCTGTTGATAAACTTCCATTAGCATATTTCAAAAGCCTTAATTTATGCAGTATGCTAGTGTTCCTTGCCTTACATTATGTTTGATGGGTCAGGTTTTATACAACTTACAAACTGTTGTTCTTGTTTTGCAGTCCTTTATCATATTTATGAACTTAAATCTCATTTTCATATAAATGTTTGGTCACATTGTTAGAAATGTAATATGCACATACACCAGACTAACTTCATATTATTAACAATGCTCTCAAAATTTGTGGTCGGAGGCTGGATTTTTCTTTTACCATAGTCATTTCTGGGTTGTCTGTGGCTACACTGCAGCATCACTTCTCATTTTTCTTTACTCCTACATTATGTGGAGGATTTCATCATGAGCTGACATCAGCTAGAGAAACACGAGAACCTGGGAGTACTGGACAGCTGTTTTGTCGTAGTTTGGAACTCTTCAGCACTACGCACCCACCGGGTTTCGAACCCAGGACCTCCTGGTTACAAGGCTTAGAAGTTTTTACCATTAGAACAAGTTAGTTGAGATTGATACACCCTCTGAAAATTTGGCAACATAAACTGAATTTTATCAGCAGTAGTTCAGTGACTTTGAACTTTTGTTGTTTGATTCATATTTCTATACCTGCATCAGTGGCACAGCGGTTAGGACTCCCGCCGACCATGCACATGGTCCGGGGTTCGAGCCCCTCCCGACGCACACCAGATATCAATGGTCGGCCTGCAGAATTTGGGCTACCGATATCACATGCAGAAAATTTCATACTTGTACCAAAAATACGATCTGGAATCAAGCTATAATCAAAATCAAAATAAATAAATAAATAAAAGTAGAATACTGTGCAGACATGGTTCACTGGCTACTCCAGGAGTGGACTTTTAAATCTGAATAACACACACGATCTACTTTAATTCGATCAGTTGAGAAATATATATCATTGGCATTCATGCATTGAAGTGTAAATGATAGTCGAGTAAATTCGGGAAGTCTAGCGGACAGTCACCCAGTGTTAGCTTAGGATGTGTTTTATGAATTCTACAAACAATTTACAGTAATACTTCACACTATCATTCAGTGGTAGAATTATATCTACACAAAAATACCTCATCAGCAGGAATAAGCGACACAATTTATTTGAATATCCCTACGGAACACTAGACTTAGACAAAAAGATAGCATCGGTAGGCGTCATACACAAAGTGAACTAAACTTCCTGTGTCACGGTTGAAGAAGAGAGGATATAACAGTAATAATAGTTATAATATAATAATAATGGCTTTATTCCAAACAGTACTTTTGGTACAAATATGGAATTTTCAGCATGTAGTAGTACAGTATCGGTAAAAACCAATGGCTGGAGACAATCGGTGATATCGCTCAAAATCGTTCTCAATGGTGCAGACGCATCCACTCCTTGTGACTTAGAATACCCAATGAAACTATTGTTCTTCGATATTACTATTCTTTTAGCCTTATATCTCTGTTTACTGTCTCTATTTTGCATTCCTTTTTACTTTCTTCTCTTGCTCTGTGTGTTACATGGAGTGTGGCGACTTGAACTGCTGCACATCGGTGCAAAGTTCTATGTTGAAACCAGTCCAGTCCAGTGACTTCCTCATTACAGGGGTAATAATTAAAACAGGACATTTACATTGATAATATAGTTCAACACTAATATGAATATAAAAAATTAAACTAAATGAAAATATTAACAACAATATAATTGTAAAAAAATGGGGCCATTTACCTAGAGTTCCACACTAAGTTGGTAATTTCCTGCCTTACACTTTTCTCATCACATAATATGTGTCTAAATAGGGTATTGTACAGTTTTTGTACTGAGTCGTCCGAGCATGCAGTCTTCTGTAGTTGCTTCTAGTTCGACCCGATGAGATACAAGGAGAGAATTGTGTATGGAGAGGATGCTCATGGTATGACAAGATGATATTTGCTAGTCTCTTGCAGGAGTTCATAAAACAGCCAAGGAGTAAATCATCCTCCTGTAATTGTGTTTAAAGTTTGTTTCGCTGTCTGTGTCAGTGATAAAAGAGAATTGTAGCAGAACTGCTAATAGCTTTTATGGATGTGACTCCGTATCACTCAAACGATTATCCTGTAACATCAGGACTGGGAGTGAAGTGGTGACTGAGCGTGTTGACCATTTCACTTATTTGGGAAGTTGCATCAGACAACGCCAGTGGGTTTATCGCTGACGAAATCTCTGCACCGATACAGAAGGCTAGTTTTGCATATGCCAGTTTACGCCATCTCTGGCTTAGTAGACGTGATATCCGGCTGGATGTCGACCAAAGGGCATGTGTACTGCTCACCAGTCCGCTCCGTCCTCCTTTATGGCTGTGAGTGAGAAATAGCCATTGAAAGTGGAAGACATGAAACGCCTGACTAGCTGTCTTTGATCACAGGTGTCTGCGTTCTATCTCCCGTGTTAAGTGGAAAATAGGGTGAGAATAATAGGGTTAGGCCTCAGTCGAGTGGTAGGTAAGGAGGGGAAATCAATCGATGAGGTTGTGAAGTTACATCGATTGAATGAGATGGTTAGGACATGTGTTACGCATATCTAGCCATCTCCTTCTTCGAAATCGGATCAGGTTGGGGAACAGCTAGTGGTGGTCACACCAAAACATAGCTTCATCAGTCAATGAAATCCACAACAGTTAGTTTAAACCACGTAGGAGGGTGTAGACTTGCAGACTGGTTGGGGTACTCGAGGTGGTAAAAACCAATTGAGGCTGGAGACAATCGGTGATATGGCTCAAAGTCGTTCTCAATGGCTGGCGTAGAAACTTCCAGTGAAACTATATGGTTCCTCCATATTACTATTCTTTTTGCCTCATATCTCTGTTTACTGTCTCTATTTTGCATTTCTTCTCTTGCTTTGTGTGCTACATGGAGGGAGTGTGGCGACTTGAACTGCTGCATATCGGTGCAATGTTCTATGCTGAAAACAGACAGACAAACGATTATCCTCATCTTATGTCTTCACTAATTTTGTGCCTCCAATCTTGCGTATTTATTTTACATCATTTCATTTTTAAGCTTTTGGTTTAGCAGATATATTTATGTAAAATATAGAAAAATGGCCTTAAAACACAGTAAATGCTCATGTTACTTGATTGGATATTTGGCAGAAAATGTTGTCTAACTAAGGGGACTAAAAATCAAACCGTTGCTCAGAAAAGTTGACAAGAGGGCCTTTCTTCTCTCGGTATTTATCGTTTATAGTATATTATGCGTAGTTTGCCCTTTTACGTGACATTATGTTTCTAATCCTTATTTCAAATAATTCATTCATAGATATTTTCTTTTTTTCTCTCTGATTTGTTTCCAGTGAAGCTGCAAAACGTCGTGTTGAACTTCTCAAGTTAATCTCAGATCCCTCTGCACCATGTGAATCAATTCTGACCGCTTTAAATCGTTACCTACAGTTATTAATGGGCTTTGTTTTGCCCGTTGATAACAAAACACCCTACAGCAAATTAAGAGGTCTTGTCTGTGTAAAATGGTCGGATAGTATTAAACCAAAGGGTGAACCAATGTTTGTTAACATTTCTATTTATTTATTTGTATTTATTTAGTCTCCGTTATGATTCAATATTTGAGCTTTACTCAATTATTTTTAATGTTGCCTTATGGTATACTAAACATGCAGCAAAAGTTGCTTCTAGTGAAAGGTTAGTTATATTTTTATGATGAATTAATTGGCTCATAATTCATTGTATTTATAATTTAGTGTTTCAGAGGACGAAGCTAAAGATGTTCACTTATCACTACGTACAGCTGCTGGACTATTTAGTCTTCTAAGAGAGAAATATATGCATGAGTTTACAGAGTTTATAAAGAATAGTGATTTGGATCCGAATATTTTAGATGCTTATATAAGTCAGTCGTTGGCAGAAGCACAGGAAAGTTAGTTATGCTTGTGTTAACCTTTCTTTTTCATGTTTATTTTATATACATATATACACTATTATTAATCAAAACCTTACTCTTTCAATTCATGTGTTTTACTGTCTGTTGGACGACAACAGTGAAAGACACAATACCTTCAACAGCAAATTATTATTATTGTTTCCTTTAATTCCTAGAGGAACATAGGGATTCAGCCGCGCGTCTCCATTGCGTTCGGTTCTCTGCTAGAGTTTTCACCTAGCTCCAAGTCTGCCCACACGCTTTCATCTCCTCTTCACATCACCTCCTCCAAGTCACCCTTGCACTGACGACCAACTCGCCGCTTCCCTTTCGGGTTCCACTCGAGCAATGGCTTGTCTAGTGATGTCACTTGATGGTTTGTTTCCTCAGAGTATAGCCAGCCAATCCATCTCCATTTCTTCCTGCCTATTTGTTTCACAATCGGTTCCTGGTTGGTTCGCTCATTGCCAGAGATCCCTGTTGCTGATCTTTTTTGGCCATCTGATCTTGAGTATTGAGCGAAGACAGCTGTTAATGAAGGTCTGTAGTTTGTTTGATGTGCTCTTTATGACGCGCCGAGTCTCTGATCCGTATAGTAGTACTGACTACACATTGGAGTTGAAAATCCGGATCTTATTTTTGATGCTGAGTGCTGTTGACCTCCACACAGACTTGAGAGTAGTAAAAGCTTGTCTTGCTTTTCCGATTCTTGCTTTGATATCCTGGTCAGTTCCGTCCTCCTGTAGTTGAAACGATGCTTCCTAGGTAGGTAAAAGAGGTTGTTTCTTTCAGGTTCCTCCCATTTATGCTGATCGTTGTCTGTTGTTTTTGTTCTTGTCCAGGAATCTTCATCACCTCTGTTTTCTCTATGTTCACCTGAAGTCCTATCTTTGATGCTTCTTCTACCAACTTGTTGCTTTTCGCTTGCATATCTTCCATTTTGTGGGAAATCAGACATATATCATCGGCGAAGTCCAGATCCTCCAAGTTTTTTGTGTGTGTCCATTTTATGCCTGTTTCCTGATTGCCCGCTGTTTGTCGCATTATCCAATCTACTGCAATCAGGAAAATCATTGGCGATAGTAGGCAGCCAGCTTGTCTTACTCCTGTCCTCACTTCGAAGGATTCCGTAAGTTTTCCGTTGTGGATTACTTGGCATGCAGCATTGTCGTACAGCTGTTGGATGAGATGTATAATTGTCGGTGGCACCCCGTAGTAGCGAAGTAGTTGCCAAAGCACCTCTCGATCGACGCTGTCGAAGGCCTTTTCAGAGTCGATGAAGTTGAGATAGAGAGGTGACTGCCATTCCAAGCTTTGTTCAATGATGATCCGTAATGTGGCGATCTAATCAATGCACGACTTGTTCCTACTGAATCCAGCGTGTTCCGGTCGTAGTTTTTCATCCAGGGCCTGTTTGATTCTCTCCAGGATGATGCGCCTTAGTATTTTGCTTGGAATGGACAGGGGCATAATTCCGCGCCAGTTCTTGCATTAGCCAGCAAATTAGCCATCTTTTTTATACATGGGATGAAACCAAATACACGTATGTAACATGAGAGGTATTTAGGAATGTATTAGTGTGAAATAATGCAAAAGATTTGTAGCTAAGATGGATGATTTTGCTTTAGTGGTGTTCTCTGTCTAAGCTGGTTGATTTAATTGTCAAGCTTTCGTCCTCCTCCTAGAAAGTTTAAATTCCAAGTCAATAAAAATGATCAATAGAGATGTAAATTTATAACCAATCACAACATTGGTTGTCAGGAGATAGAATTATATCCTTTATTCACGGAAAATTCAAATATAAGTTCATTTCATACTGAAACCTGCTCTGAAGATGTTTTATAGAAAGGGGACAACGAAAGCTTCGAGATTAAATCATCTAGCTCAAAGAACATGACTAAATCAAAGTGCATGATTTATTTGTGGTGACAGCACGATTTCATGAACACTTTGGCAGGGGTTGACTGACTGGTTTCAACGTAGAACTTTGCACAGATGTGCAGAAGTTCGAGTTACCACACTTCACTTAGCACACAAAGCAAGAGAAGAAAGTAAAAAGAAATGCAAAATAGAGACAGTAAACAGAGATATGAGGCAAAAAGAATAGTAATATCGAAGAACAATATAGTTTTATTGGAAATTATAAGTCACAATGAGTGGATGCATCTGCGCCAGTCATTGAGAACGAGGATTTTGAGACATATCACAAATAGTTTACAGCCGTCATTAGTTTTTGCCACCCCGAGGACTCGAACCAGTCAGGAAGTCTACACCTTCCTACGTAGTCCAAACTAACTGTTGTAGATTTCATTGACTGATGAGGCCATGTTTTACTCTGACCACCAGGAGCTATTTTCCAACCTGATCCGATTTAGAAGCCGGAGATGACTAGATATGCGTGACACATGTCCTAACCATCTCACTCAATCGATGTAACTTCACAACCTCATCGATTGATTTCCCCTCCTTACCTACCACTCGACTGAGGCCTAACCCTGTTATTGCTCACCCTATTTTCCACTTAACACGGGAGATAGAACGCAGACACCTGTGATCAAAGACAGCTAGTCAGGCGTTTCATGTCTTCCACTTTCAATGGCTATTTCTCACTCACAGCCATAAAGGAGGACGGAGCGGACTGCTGAGCAGTACACACGCCCTTTGATCGACAGCCAGCCGGATACCACGTCTACTAAGCCAGAGATGGCGTAAACTGCCATATGTGAAACGAGCCTTCTGTATCCGTGCTGAGATTTCGTCAGCGATCAACCCACTGGCGTTGTCTGATGCAACTTCCCAAATAAGTGAATTGGTCAACACGCCCAGTCACCACTTACTCCGTATATTTAAGCTAGGAGTAGTCGATGTGGTCCAGTCCTGTAGCATCATCTTGCATTTGGCGGGAGCAAACTGCATGCCAAACATTCAAAGATTGCTTTCTGATCAAGATGTTTATAAAACTCTGCTGCGTTTTGTCACCGTCTTCTCCTAGGGTGCATATTTTAAGTTTAGTACTCAGAGAAACCCCTTATTCATCAAAAAAAAACTATGCAATCATCCACTATTTGTCTCAGTTTTTCAAAAGTGTTCAGCAGTTTCTTAGTTACAGTCAGCTTGATGTAAATCATTGTGGAGAAGGGAGGGGTGCAGAATGTTTCTCTGCCGTTTAAAGTAAGATTGTCAAGTTGTTCAAAACCTTTCAGTTTTTTAAGTTTTATTCTTCAGTATACGCATGCTAAGACATTCACTATCCTTTAAAGACCATTTTGTAACTAAAAGATAATTAAAAACACAGTTTTTGTTCATATATGTATATTGACTGAGCAATTATTTAGTGCCACTTAATGACCTTTTCTGTAATATAAATACGACTGTACAGCTTGAAAATGAAGTCGTTGAAAAGAAATTTTTTCGCTGAACAAAAACTGTTTTTACTTATGAATAAATGGGTATTTTTCGTGATTTAAAAGATAATTGCAGTTAGTTAACATTGTTAGTGGAATTAGTGGCGATTGGTTTTTTCTCCGGTTGGTGTTACGTAGCTGGTCTTGAAGATATCACTCACTGGTTTGAGCATTTTGCCTTCAACTGATGAGTCACACGTTCGAGTCCCTCTCCACCTACTTCAGCTTGGGCAACTAGGTAGTATCATCAGCCCTCACATGGTAAGTGTGACGATTAGTCGGGTGCATGAAAAACCTGTTCCGCGTAATTGAGCCTAAAAGAAAAAAGAGCTGGTCTATACAGTATCTACACAGGAAGTTTTTTTCAATAGCTACACTATGAGGCATTCCCCATATTTCCGTTGTTATACATTTATTAATACTGTCTCCATAAATTATTTAACTTTCTCTGTGCACGACTGAAACATGATTTTTTCTTTAACCTTATTCGATAATTTAGTTACTGTAGCTAGGGCGATTGAATTAAAGCACAAACCTCATTTAATCTCCGCTCTGGCCAACGAAACTGCAAAGTTTTATGAAAAGTGTGGTAAGTTTTATAATATTGTTCGAGTTGTTTTCTTATTGTAACATTTTCTATGGTAAATTGTTGTACAGCGAGATTATGCAACCCGGTTTGATTTACTATGACTCTTTAATTAGAAGTGGCTCTTACTGAGAACCTCGTTCAGCGTAACTGAGTTCCTGAACACACCACTTACTTACAGCTTTTTTTAGAGGTTCAGTTCTCTTATACACCTGGGAAGGAAAAGCTTTTCCCCCTACTGGTTTAGTTTTCAGTACACTCAGCGGCAGTCTTCACTTCAGTATGAACTTGTGATATGATTATGTCAGCTCGACGTTTTAGTCAGATAGCACCTTACATACTTTAAAATTCAACATATTGTTAGATGGCTATTTGCAGAGTAATTACAGCCTTATAGCTTGCTACATGTGTATGCGGGTAGGTAGACTTCATCCATCCCCTCGAAATGCTTTCATATAGTCACTTGTTCACAGCCTATGCTATGTAAGTTCTATTCACTGCCGTCATGCGACAAAGAGGTGTTCTTACAAAAAGTGAAGCGATTGATGCAAATATCCGACGATCATCATTGAACCGGTGGACATAATATTGTGCTAAAAACATACTACCATATTTTGATTGGACACTAGTCAGTAACTAGTGTAATGTGTCCTAGTCCTATCTTTGCTGCAGACTGAATTCTGTTGTCAGTCAAGGTTGCAATGTGGCCACCATGCTAAGTGGCTCACTATTACGGTACACTGTGAATGGTGGCATTAGATGGTTGGAGGCGGGTGACGCAGGTTCGAATCTCACAAGGGATATGAGTTCCATCAAGGAGGTCGCAGATATGCCTTGCTGACTGATGAGTGCCAACCAGCAAGAAATCTAAGTCAAGCAGGGCTTCCTGTCCAATACATACTGCCATCTACGAACCGTCACAGACTGAATCGGAATGTACATTTTTTGTGGATTATAACCCTTTATAACTCTTTTTTGTTAGATTTGAAGGAAAGTGCAGCTGACTTGCTGGTTGTTTAAACAGCGGTATATCTAGCGTCACTGTCACACCTTCTACCAGCGGAACAATTTCATTTTCAAATCTTCGCTTTAGGCATAAGGCGTTTACATTGCGTCAACAAGCGTTTCCTGTCTCACCACTAGGCAGTTGTCCCTTTTGGGCATGGTAAAACATATGAAAATGGTCACTACAGATAGCATGGGACCTTGAGTCATTACAATATGCATGACTACTACGCTAAGACAGAAGCTGACGATTGGTTATATTTTTTCTAATATTAAATTCAAACTATTCGTCGACAGTGGGAAACGAAAAGACAGGGATATCCTGGACCGACGTGAAGAATCTAGAAGACCTGGATTTCGCGCGTGGATGATTTATGTTTGATGTCACACAAAATCGAAGACTTACAGGCGAAAACCGACAAACTGGTAGAAGAAGCAGCAAAGACAGGACTCCAGGTGAACATAGACAAGACGGAGGTTATGAAAATAACCAACCAACCAACAACAACAACAGCAACATCCACCGACAATCACCATCAACGGGAAGGATTTGAAAGAGGTTACTTCTTTCACTTATCTAGGGAGCATTGTCTCAACCACAGGAGGAACGGACGAGGATATCAGATCGAGAATCGGGAAGGCGAGAAACACATTCATTAACCTGAAACCAATCTGGAAATCTTCGTCACTCAACTCAGCATCAACAACAAAATTCGGATTTTCAATATAAACGTCAAGTCAGTCAGTTCTTCTATACGTACGGATCAGAAACTTGGCCAGTGTGTCACAAAGAATATTTCCAACAGCCTGTTGCAGACCTTTATCAACAACTGTCTTCATCGCTCTATACTGAAGATCAGATGGCCGGAAAGAATCACCAACAAGAAACTATGGGATCAAACAAAACAAGAACCAATCGCCCAAAAAATATGCAGGAGAAAGTGGAGATGGGTAGGACACTCGCTGAGCTGAGGAGGCCGCTGGGTGACATCACGCGTCAGGCCATAACTCGAGTAGAACTCGAAAGGGAAGCGGCGAGTGGTTCGTCGGTGCAAGGGTGACATGGAGGAGATCGTGTGAAGAGGAGTTGAAACAGTATGGACTAACATGGACGCACGTGAAAAGTACAGCAGAAGACAGAAGCAAGTGGAGACGTGCAGTTGAAGCCCTATGTTCCACTGGAACCCAATGGAACAATAATAATAATAATAATTCGTCAGCTGTTATAATATGCTGAAACAGTTTCTAAAGTATACTTCATAGAGTCAGATGAAGAATAGCTTCGTGTGTAGAGAACACAGAGGATTTACGATAAGCAATATTGACGGAACTATTATGCTTTCAGTGGATGAAAGGTGGTGGCGGAAGACTGACCAACTAAGCAATTAGTCCAGGAAAATCAAAGACAAATTCAGCGAAAAAATTTTCTCATTTTTGTCGACGAAATCATCTTCCGAGTCGGCTGTACAGTCGTATTTATATTTACTAAAAATGTACAGTAGTCTGTTATTAAGTAATAAGGGTGCGGGGGACATAATTTATATAATTACTCAGAAGTGGCTTTAGAAGTAGAAAATAAAAGTTGTAAATTACCTGGTACTCAACGGCACAAAGATAGAAATTTGATAAGGTTAAAATTGCTATTGAGTGAGAATAAAGGTAGTTGATTGTCAATTTAACAAGTGTAAAGAGGGTGTGAAAATGTACAAAAGGAACATATGAGAGTGATGATATTGAATTAATTATTAAAGCAAAAACAAAATTTAAAAAAAGAAATCGGTCGGTCGGTCGGTTTTCGACATAGAACTTTGCACATATGTGCGGCAGTTCAAGTCGCCACAATCTATGTAGCACGCAAAGCAAGAGAAGAAAGTAGAAGAAATGCATAATATAGACAGTAAACAGAGGTGTGAGACTGAGGAGTAGTAATAACGATGAACAATATAGTTTCATTGGAAATCATAAGTCACAAGGAGTGGATGCATCTGCGCCACTGAGAACGATTTTGAGCCATGTCACCAATTGTTTCCAACCATTGGTTTTTACCATCCCGAGGGCCCCAACCAGGAAGTCTACATCTTCCTACGTGGCTTAGACTAACTGTTGTGGATTTCATTGATTGGTGCCATGTTTTGGTTTGACCGCCGCTAGCTCTTTTCCAGCCTGACCCTATATCAGCTAACATTGCCCGTTGTCGAGGAAGGCGATGACTAGGCATACGTAGCACATGTCCTAACCATCTCAGTCGAAGTAATTTCACAGTCTCGTCGATTGATTTCCCCGCCTTACCTAGCACTCGACGCCTAACCTCAATATTGCTCACCTTATCATACCACTTCACGCGGGAGATAGAACGCAGACACCTATGATCGAAGACAGCTAATCTTTTCATGTCTTCTGCTCTCAATGGCCAGGTCTCACAGCCATAAAGGAGGACGGAGCGGACTGTTGAGCAGTACACACGCCCTTTGGTCGATAGTCGGATATCGCGTCTACGCCAGAGACGGCGAAAACTGGCGAATGCGAACCTAGCCCTCAAAG